TGTCCAGACAACAGCACTCATCTATACATTACAAAGCAGCTTAAAGGCCCTCGGACCACCTCCTGTGAGTGTGTGTGTGTTTAGTGTTAATATTCAGAGTGTGTCTCCATGTTAATGTCCCACCTGCATCCCCGTGGAGTCACAGCTGCATTAAATTACCACCCCTGTAAATGCCACATTATGGTTTTTGCCCCCTCTCTACGCCTCGCCCCCGGGTGCTCTCATGCCAAACTTGGTACGAATATCTCCAATATGCACGTAAAACAATTACAAGTGTGTCGTAAAATTGTAAGTTCAAACGCAGCTGCAGCTGAGCCATAAACTCAGTCTAAACATAGTATTTTCACTGCGGTTTATTAAGTCGATAAAATGCAGTAACATCTCGGATGAAAAATCGTGTTTTATTTAAGTAGCAGTTTGAAAGCAAAAAAGTAAAACGTATTTCCTCCTGAAAGTTGACAGAACAGATCGGCTAACTGACTCCAGTCGGAGCGAAATGCTTCAAGACAAACACGCTTCTTACTCTTTGAAAGCTTTAGTGAATGTGCAGACTATTAAGTAATATCACTTATTATACGATTCATTTGATTTAGAGTTATAAGAATACCTTTAAATTATGACTTGACTTTCTTCTTTGAGTACTTACTTAAATATCCGAGTACTTCTCAAACGTTTAAAACCTTTAAAAACTGATGTAACACTTTCAAAATTCTGCGTACAGAAACGGGTCGCTGGATAAAATCAGGACAGATAATTAGAATCATAAATCCATTGTGAGGAAAATCAAACTAGAATTTAAACACTACTTCAGTGTTTGTCAAGGGAAATTCTTGACTGGTCTCTGTGGTTAAATGAATTTAAATCAATGACAGTCACTGTTCGAAACACAAGACTGCAACATATTTTATGTAATTTCAGAAAATGTAACAAAAAATGATCACAGAATTTAAAAAAAATGTTTTTTGTCATTTGCTTTAAAATAAATCTATTTTGAAAACCATCCACGGATGGGTTAAGAGATGGAAAAACCAGATGAAATTTCCAGTTTTTGCTAATCCTGTTAATTAAATATCAGACAAATCCAGACAGCATGCAGATCACTGATGCAGAAATCCCATAAATCCAACAAAACCATTAAACAAATCTGTTCATTAGTTTTCATGGATGAAAAATAAAAGAAATAAAATAGAACAGAGTAAAAAGGTGGCTAGCAAAATATATAAAAACAAACACGACTGCACAAGAACACACTGAACTGCAGACACAACTTCTAGCACACAAATTGGACTACTGACCTTAGCGCTGTTCTGCAGAGCCGGTTAAACTTTAAAGATCCTGTGACTTGAGCTGTTCAGCTTGTCTGTGCTCCCTGGTGCATCTGCAGGGATGAGCTCCCAGTGCACGAGTGGGCGTATCTAAAGAATGGCATTTTCCAACCATCCTGCCTCTCTGCCTGTCCTTCCACATCATACTGCATGTATCTCCATAACAAACAGCCCTGGTACCTCTACACATGTCCCACTGACTGCAGACGCATGAAGGAATGAAAGACGAAATGTCACGAAAACCTTAAAGAACACAACATTCTTGCATCTCTGTTGTCATTGTTCAACGTTTATTCCTTAACATGCCACTTTTCACACACGGATTCATAATCCACCCTTTTCAGCTGCGATTGAAATGTAGCATCTAGAAAAAAGGGCATCAAAGGGAAGTCTGATTATGACTCCTCATCCCTGCTTCTTTGATTCCACTTTTCTGCGGGTCACACAAAGAATTACGACTGACTTGTTACACCACAGTATTTGGACTTGTGTTGCACTGCTAATATGTCCAACACTTGACTGTGACTGTCGATCAACACAACAATCATAATCCTGAACGTTTTAATCTTGATAATTTAACACAAATTATTTGTAAACTACTGGCAGACGCAGCCGAGCGTGAAGATAGCCCCAGGTGACTTGAATACCTTTGTTCAGTCAAATTTTTGAAACGTCATCACAGTAGCCTAAAGTTAAACGATTACAAAAAACAAACAGGATACTCCCTAACTGATTGAGCCACTTATCAATGAACTGCGGCACCTCTAACACTGTATATGCAAAACTATAAGTGTGTATAAACTTAAACGATTTCTAGCCCTGTGCGATACGCTGATGTCCCTCTGCTGCTGCACAGTATTTCAGTGAAGTCATTACTGAACTGGTTTTCTTAAAGAGATCCATCTAAAGAGAAGCTGCGTGACTGTGACAGAAACATAAAGTCCTTTGTGTTACATAAAAGGCACAATTATCCCTGGTATCATTTTTAATTGCGGTAATGTGTTGTGTAATTACACACGAAGTCCATCAGACCAATTACAAACCACAAAAATGGCAGCATGGAGCTGATGGCCAGCAGCCAAACTGGAAACCAGTTCGCAAAAGTTTCCGTGCAGGTGCGCACCGCTGTACCTGGGCGTGCACGCAGGTGAGTGTTCCCTACACAAAATGCAGTAACCTGAATGTTCAGCTCTTCAGGTTCACGCATACCAGAGCAGGCCTGAATTAAACATCACACACAAACACAGAAAATCAAAAGCTCCTTTGATGTTTTCAGATCTCAGATGGGTAGGATGTGCATGGTTGACGTGAGCTCTCTGGACAGTCCAGAGTGTGTGTGTGTGTGTGTGTGCGTGTGTGTGTGTGTGGTCCCCCTGCCTTCCAACACAATGGGGATTACTCTAATGACTCCATTCACTACCATTGTTTGATCCAGATTACCGCGCACGCAGGCACACATCCTCTCTTTTCAAATGCAACAATCAGGGGTTGCCAGGTTCTTTCTGCCTCCCGACACCACCTGGATATGTTCAGTGTGAATTTGCTGGGCGCTGTAAATCTTTGGAAGTCCTGCAGTTTGACTCAGAAGTGCTTCTTGATTCAATAAAAAAAATCTGGGCACAATATTTACATTTAATTTAGTGCCAAACGAGGCTCCAGTCATTTGCCCTAAAAGCTGCGAATGAAAGCCAGAGAAGACGGAGCTTAAACTTATTTATGCAAGTTAAGTAACTGCATTGATTTGGAGGCATCCCCCGCTTGTTGCCTTGCGTGATTTCTTTCTTTCTTCCTTCCTTCCTTTTTTTTTTTTTTTAAAGAAAGTCATTTCCTGACCAAAGCACACGTTCGTCAAAATGCAGTACGGGGGCAGGACTTTTGTAACAAAAGCAGCTAAAGCTCGGAAGCCTTTTGTTCACTGAACTGTGTGAACAGTAAACAACAATTTAACAAATACGAGAAGAAGCTCTTGAAATAATCCAGTTATGATAAAATGTTTTCGGGTCTATGTTGCCTCTACACCTCTCCTCACAGGCAGCAGGAGCTGTGCAATGTGGTTTATCATCGGTGTGTCCACACCTTGTGTACACAGCCTTGTAACTTATCAGGTGTTCGGGGTTAAAAATGAAAACAACGTGACTACGCTATGAGTCACAAACATGCCGTGTAACTCGAGCTACGTCACATGATCATCATGTTACTGTCAGACGGGAAAATCTGGATTTATGTGCATTTAGTCACTGATTTCATCACGGCTGGTTTCTGTATGCTTGCTTCTTCTTCCTGTTGCGCAATTTTCATCCCGAAACTCCTGGTCTGAGGCACTGTGGCACGACTGGCTGGTTCAGGGATCAAACGTTTGACCTTCTACTGACAGGATGTGCCAACCTCTGATCCACACACACACACACAGTGATCCTCTGGGAGCAGCAGCAGAAGGGGATTATGGGAGCGGATGGTGGATGAACAGCAGGCTGGTATGAAGTAAAGATCGGGCATCATCTGAATGCGGTTTTAAATCCACGGCAACATATTTATTCCACATGAATGTCAGACTGCGGCAGGAGGAGATAATAACAATAAACTACCACTGCTTTATAAGCACCAGATAACACGGACTGACATGCTTATATAACATCAGTGAGCTGCTTTCACTTCTTTCCAGCCCACCCTGCTGGATTCTTGAGGGTTTTTTTTTTTTCTAATCTAAACTCAGATTATTTTTTAAAGGCTCCAATGACTCTTGGTATAAAAAGGGTGTGGCCAAAGGTGTGAGGGGAAGCTTTTACAGTTACTGCTGTAAAAAAAAAAAAAATCTTGTTAAAGCCTCTACAATTACGCATTTAGTTCTTGAATGACTAAATGCAACATTCTGTGTTTGTGCTGGGGACCTTGCATTGGATTGGATCTGATGCTCGTTTTCCATCGGGTGTTTCTGATTTATTGAACAAATGTTATGTTGGCATTCAAAGAACACCTTTTCAGCACACATCATGTGTGCTTTATGCACGCCGCCTCCTCACTTTAGCAGAGCTTTGATTCAGCGGTCCATGCATCTCTATGTTTCGTTACATATTCCAAGTCTCTGACTCACCGTTGCAATCTTTATGATTTGGATATCGCTGACCACCCGCGGTAAACGGCTCTGGCGGATTATCTACGAGGTGCCCCGGGTTTTTAGAGCTCTGGGATAACGATGCTTTCTTACTCTTGGATGCCGAATGTGTTGCAGAACGTTAAACGTGCTTTAATCTGGTGTCATCGAGAATGTGGTGACACTGAAGTTCCTGTTTCAGTATATACTGCATTTTACAGTGTATATGTCTCTCCTGAAAAGACTTGATTTGAACCGTTCTTTAAAACTGCAGAAACAGATCATATATCACATGAGCGCTCTGGATACAGGTATACCTGTTCTACACTGTTCAGTCATTATCAGTGCCACTCAGCACTCTGCACATGCTCAGTGCTGTTCTCTTGGTTTGTTGATCATCCAGAGGCACACATTGCGTTGGGGGAAAATAAAGACAAACAAACCTAGTTATGTGTAAATATGGAGGAAATCAGTGTTGCTTTTGTGTTTAATAAAGCCGAAAGACGCGTGTCTTTGCTGGTGCCGATCAGCGCACCCAGTTCGCCCCAGTCCTCCAACCAAGGGTTTGAATAGTTGCCCGTCAATTACCCCTGAACCTCCTGAGCCCAGTAAATGGTAATCGGGCCGGCCCCATTGATACATACGTTTAATTCTTCTCTGCACTCGATGGCTGGTGAAGCTTAAAGAGGCTCTGTGCAAGTTTAACAGATTAGTGTTAATCAACCACGAACTGATTAAATCACTTTAGTCATTTATCAAGAAAATGTGACAAGTGTCTTCTGCTTCCAGCTTCTAAAAGCAGCATTCAATACTTCTCTCTCTGCTTAGCGTCACTGTAAACTGCTCGAACAAAAGAAATCTGAAGACGACGCCTCGAGCACCTGTGACAGTTTATCGACCATCACCGCACGGCTGCATTATGTGAACACACAGAGACGCAGCCTGAAATGACGCCTGCTGCTCAGAGTGAGAACACGCAGCGAGTTTTTTAACATTTAACTCACTTTAATGATCGCCTCTATTAACCGACAGAGAGAGCGAGAGAGAGAGAAATCAATACGGCTATATCATTCCATATCGGTGCTTTTAGTCTCATTTATGACAGGAAACGACGACAACCTTCCATCTGCCAGGCTGTAAAGCATCTCCATGTCAGCCGGACTGATTTACATGAAATTAACAGTGGGTGTGTTTATGATTCCCTCAGGAGGAGTTCTACCATTGCTCCTTTTTAATAAAATATAAGAATGATGATGACATTGCAGTTCACGGCAAAATTCAAGCCGAGCCTTCAACCACCTTTAGTTGATTTATGACATATTTGCCACTAGAAAGAGGGGGAAAAAAACCCAACCTCGCATAGGAGAATGTGGGTGAAAGTTTTTTTCATCAGGTCATAGTGTCCACAATATCACCAACGTGCTGCAACAGCACCGTGCCCTGAGTTCCCCCGTGACTCCTCGCCTTATTACAGAAGAGCAAGAGTGTAGCTACCAAGCAGATATAAACCTCTGCGACGTGTTCAGTGTGCTCCGCGAGCTGTAAGGGTTTCAGTGGGAAGAGGGGACACATCTGATCTCAGAAAAACAAAACAACAAACCACAAAAGCCAACCGGAGCCCGTCATCCTAACAGACTCAAAATGAAGCATGAATGTGCATTTATAACCCGAACAGAAGTAGATTCATCTAAAGAGAAGGAAACTATTCTTAGAACACATTTCGCCCCCACAGCTGAGGTTTTTGTTTTATTTCAAATGATTCATGTTTTCATCTCGGACAGAAATCTATAGAAAAAATATGTGATGGCTGTTGTACAACCACATCTCTGAGCGACCTGTTCAGGGTTTTCTTCCTCCCAAACTAACCAAAGGATCATCTAACTGGAAAATGTTACTGCCAGTCAAACTTTTCTAGCTTGTTTGTGAATTTCACTGAGATGCCAAAGATTTTATTGCTATTTCCAAGTTGTGACTAAGAGCTCATAAGCCATACCCAGACACCATAAAAGAAGAAACAATGGATTAGTCAAGTAACCAGCCGTGTCACAGGAAAGACGTGACAAAGCATCCATTTCTCCTTTTTTCTTCCGCGTGTTAATGCGAGTTTTTGGTTTCCTCTCTCATTTGCGCGCTCGTTGTCACACCTAAACTTAAATTCGAAGGGAAACTGTCCGTGAAAACTCTGAAATCAGAAGGGTGGATGTCTCTTTTCCTGCAGTGCAGTGATGTGAATGCATGTGTGTGTGTCCATTTCACACACCAAACCCATTTCAACTCTACCTCCTCCTATTTTAATGACGGGCATTAACAATGCGACTCGCTCAGATCTCCAATTTTTACGCAGAAATGTGCAGAACGGACTCGGTGCGACCTCCCTCCTCCCACTTGTCTCATTTTTCTCCATCCCCTTTCTCCCCCCAATGACTAATTCCCCACGCTGCAGAGCCACGGAAGACTGTAACGTTTGTCACCGTTTTATCTGATCACCCTGAATTAGAGGAGGCAAGAGAAGAACCCTAAAGATGGGAATCAAACCTCAGACCTCACCCTCAAAGTGGCGGATGGCATAAGCCGAGTGACAGCAGGCTTGCCATCGAAACCGGCCGCAAACCTCAGGGAGAACATCTCCAATTCAGTCGCTCCTGCTGCACAATAAACCTGGATCTACGCTTAACAGTGGCAGAATGCACAGGGGGGAAGCCTCCAGCTCGACCATAAAACCACAATCTCACCCTCGGAGGCTTTTTATGTTTGTCCAACAGCAGAACGCAGCAACGCGGCTACATTAATTCATTAATATGCTTTTAGTCATTTATTAAATAACACCACTCTTCAAGTGGATTCTCCAGTTGTTCCAGGAAGTACACTGGACCTGCTTTACTGTGCAACATCTACCTTAAGGCCAAATGTGATTACGACGGTCTCGCCTTACTGGGTGAGACACATGAAGCTTCTAATGCAGCTGGATGATTTCACATCACGAGTTTCACAGGAAATTATGGGAGCGAGATGACAGTGGGGTAGTGGGGAATAGGGTCAAAGGTCAAGTGTGTAGGAAGAGAAAACATGGCAGATTCCCACGGAAGTGTCTCTGGAAACATGTGTTTGAAAACCACCAGTACTTAGCTCAGTATCAGAGAGGCAGATGCAGTTTGCATATAAATACACTCCCCCCTTTCTCTTTCTCTCTCGCTCCCTCCCTCCTTCATGTGGAGCAGGTCTCTCTCTCTCTCCCCTTTTCTAGTACACACACGCGCACGCACGCGCACATACACGTACGCACACATGGAACAGAAGGAAGGAGGAGAACCGGAAAGCCGGAGACTGGTGGGACCGGACTGACTAGATTCCCAAGCGGTGACGCGGTGGATATTCATCATCAGCTGCCCTCCTGTCCACCTTTGATAGTTTACACTGATACTCTTGTGCCTTTATTTGCCTTCACACCATGTTAACGGCACGTACGCTCCAGAAAACAAGCTCATTAAAGGAGGGTGTTAAGGATGGAGGAAAAGGGAGTTTAATTTGATGCTACAGGTGCTCAAAGCGGCCTCGGGTGCCGCAGAGGATCAGATATGGAGAATGATGTATGCCCCCACGTCTGTGCGTCTCGTTTATTAGCAGCCGTGGATGAATAGACTGTTTTGTTGCCAAGAGTCCCCAAAGGCAGATTAGCTCTTATATTCCAAGACAAACCTCAGATGATAAATACACTGCCTTTTCACATTCTCTGAACATCGAGCGGCCCGTACAACTCCTACAGATCGAGCTTAAATGAAGCCCCACTGAGTTTATGATGATGCTCCTATATGCACTACAGGGACCCGCGCGCACACTCTGCCCTACTGTACTCTCCTCCCGGAATGCATTAGCCAGGATTACCGTGGGGTTAGTTCCAGGTTCGGAAAGGTTTATCAACCCAAAGTGACCCACAGGAACGCGCATTTTATTACTAACAGTCACGGAGGTAATGCTGAGCGGGGAGGGGATCGATACGGATCAATAGCACTGTAGTGTAACACTGGTAAAAAAAAAAAAAAAAGCCATCAGAGGAGATTAGGCAGAGAATGTGAAGGTCCAGTCGCGCTAAATGGATTTATTTATTTATTTATTTTATTATTATTATTATTTTTTTTTTTACCAACAAGTGTTTTAAAAAGAGCTCCTGCTCGACACAAACGCCCGTGTGCCTTCAGAGATTAAACCTCCATCGAATATGTGTTTTTTAATTAAGGCACAAGTGCTCATCCAAGCGAAACTGAATACAAAGTGAATGTGTTTTGGGCTATTCTCGTGCGTAAAACGTCTCCTGCAGTCCGACAGGAGCTCGAGTCAAAATATTTGAAATATTTAGCATGAATGTAGTTATGTGCAGATAGAAGAATAAGATTTTGTGTATGGATCGCGTATGTATGTGCAGAGAAGTTCCTACCTGGACCGGGTAAGAGCTGCGCGGTTCCCCGGCTCTGAGCGCTCCAGCCTGGCTACAGGCTCCGCTCCTCCTCGGTACCAAGACGGAGCCGCTCCAGACCTCCCGGGAAAAAAAAAAGAAAAATAAGAATCCCGAAAATCAAATCTCTAAATAAACCAAACAATCCAGTCAGACAGCCAGGGGTGGTGATTACTCCAATTTCTCTCAAATCTCTGTCCACTCTGAGTGTCGTGATCAGCGCTGCGCGTCAGCCCGACAGTCCTTCCTCTCACCGGAGGAGCGGCTGGAGCTGGAGTCCAGCCGGGGAGGAGGAGGAGGAGGGGGCAGACCCGTCCGGGCGAGGAAGGGTGGGGAGGAGTTGGGTCACTCAGTTACTCCGCAGAAACGTTACCGCCGCCCGGGCTCTACGGACAGCGGCAACAGCAGCATCCTCCGCTGGTGGCACGCGTGGGGAGATGTTGGGGTGGATGTGGACGGAGCAATGGGACAGGGCAGCAGTGTTATTTTGTTTTGTTATTTTTTGTTTTTTAAAAAAACGACCTGAGCAACAAACACAAGGTCCGGGAGCTGTCAGCAGCGGGTCTCCAGGTAGTTCCCACTCAGACGCGCGGTCACCGCTCAGCCGCCTCAAACTCTGTCCGCCTTCCCGGTCCAGCACGGAGCAGGTCGCGCGACTGCACCGTGAGTGCTGAGAAAGTGGAGTGAATCCAAACGAGTGCGCTCGCGCTTCTCTCTCTCTCTCTCTCTCTCTCTCCCTCCCGGTCTCTATCTCGCTCTCTTCCCCATCCTCCCCCTCCCTCACCCATACACTCTATACACTACACCGGAGGGGGCGGGGGCGGAGCGAGCATCCACCCCAACAACTTCGTGGATTTCCCAACATTTTTTCTCTCTTCAAATCAAACATTTGGCGACTTCCCCGCTGCCGTCACCCCTGTATTTTATGTGAATACACCTGATTTTATATTTAATGTATCTTTATGAGGTGTCGTGTCTCGGCCATAGGTCCGAGCCTGCGCGCACCCGAGATAACAGACCAAAGTGCGCACACGCTGTGACCCTCGCATTTAAACCCGTCTCTGCATTTTCACACGCACATACAGTAAATTAATGTTTCTACCTCTTTCTGTTTTCTCTCTCTCGCTCTTTAATTATATCCAGGGGTCTCTCTTCCTTCTCCCTCTCTCGCTCGGCTCCGTCCGGCCACAGAGGAGGAAAGCTGCCGTCTCTCGCGCTCTGAGCGCCACCTACAGTCGGCAAGTGGCACGTGAGAAGATGAGAGCGAGCGGAGGCTCTGCTTCCCGGCCGCCGTGCAGCAGAGGCAGCACGGGAAAGGCAACAAAATGGAGCCCGTAGTGGAAAATCTATAGAAAGCTTATTTATTGGACGTAACGCCCGATAGAGCCCGTGAACCCGGCGCAGCATGTGGTGGAGGGGAAGCAGTTATCCAAAGCAGCTTACTGAACACTGATATTACACAGGGCACATATGGATTATGATTTTGCATATG